CACTGAATTGTGCGAAAGTGAAATGTGCGAAACTGAAATGTGCGAAACTGAACTGTGCGACACTGAACTGTGCGACGCTGAACTGTGCGACGCTGAACTGTGCGACGCTGAACTGTGCGACGCTGAACTGTGCGACGCTGAACTGTGCGACGCTGAACTGTGCGACGCTGAACTGTGCGACGCTGAACTGTGCGACGCTGAACTGTGCGACGCTGAACTGTGCGACGCTGAACTGTGCGACGCTGAACTGTGCGTAAAAGAACTGTCCAATTGAACAAACCCTGATTTAGAAAAATTTATTATTTATAAATTAACAAAATTTCCAAACAGGGCTCTACATGCATACGCGTGTGTCTGTGTGTTTTAAATTATATTTCGATAACCTGTGTCCAAAAGCAACGGTGTCCAATTGTACGGTGCGCAAAAGAACTGTGTCCAAATGAACTGTGCGCAAAAGAACTGTGCGCAACATTATGTGTCCAATAGCACTGTGTGCAATTGCAACGTGTCCAATTGTACTGTGCGCAATTGAGCCTCTCCCTACCGAACCTACAACCCGGCGATGCAGGAGATTATCGACACCGAAATAGACAAAATGCTGAGCGAGGGATGCATCGAGCCAACCAGCAGCCCCTGGAACTCCGGAATAGTGCTAGCCCGAAAGAAGGACGGTCGATATCGTTTCTGCATCGACTTTCGCAAGGTAAACGAAGTCACGGAGAAGGACGCGTACCCACTACCACCGGTCCAACACATCCTGGATCAACTCCGCGACGCGCGATACCTATCGACGATCGATCTCCGGAACGGGTACTGGCAAGTACCATTACACACGGACAGCAGACCACTCACCGCATTCGCAATCCCCGGGCGGGGACAATTTCGATTCAAGGTAATGCCCTTCGGGCTACACGCCGCGCCAGCCACCTTCCAACGGCTAGTCGACCGAATCATCGGACCAGATATGGAGCCCCGTGCGTTCGCGTATCTCGACGACATAGTCGTGCTAGGCCGGACATTCGACGAGCACCTCCACAACTTAAGAGAAGTCTTGCAACGACTACTGGACGCCAACCTACGGATTAACAAAGAAAAATGTCAGTTTGGTAGAACGAGCCTACGATACTTAGGCCACGTGGTAGACCGAGAAGGATTACGTACCGATCCGGAGAAAGTAAGGGCTATACTGGAGATACCCACCCCAGGCTCAGTACCCGCCCTAAGACGGTTCCTTGGCATGGTTTCGTGGTACCGGAGATTTATCCCAGACATCGCCACCGTGACGGCACCTCTCAATAACCGGCTACAGGCGAAGGCCCGCTGGGAGTGGGGGACGGCCGAGGAACGGGCGTTTCAAACAGTACGAGCACAACTCGCCACCGCACCGGTACTCCAATGTCCAGACTTCACGAAAACCTTCGTCCTACAGACCGACGCCAGCGACGTAGGATTGGGAGCCGTCCTGACACAGGATATCGACGGACAAGAACGAGTCGTGGCTTACGCCAGTCGCACGCTCCGCCCAGCCGAGAAAAATTATTCAGCGACCGAAAAAGAATGCCTGGCAGTAATCTGGGGAATAGAAAAAATGAGACCGTACCTCGAAGGATACCATTTCCGCGTCATCACCGACCACTTCTCCCTACGGTGGCTACGCACACTGGAGAACCCGACCGGCAGACTGGCGAGGTGGGCCGTATCCCTGCAACAACACGACTTCGAGGTAGAGTACAGGCGAGGATCACTGAACCACGTCCCCGACGCGCTGTCACGCCAACCTGTAGAGGAGGGGGAGGAGTGCACAAACACAGAATTGGGCACCATC